CCGCCCCCAACCTGTGCCCGCCCCCAGGGACAGCATCCCCGACGACGTGGCCATGCGGCTGGCTTTCATCGGGGATGAGATGGACGTGAGATGGACGCTGCCGCACATCGCCGAGCTGCCCAGGATGGCCGTGCACAGGTGACCACCAGGGGCTGCCCCCGCAGCCCCCACCCCAAGCCCCTTCCGCTCCCAGAAGGGTCTCGACGGTGCCGGGGGTGCTGAGCGGCTCCCTGGGGTGGAGCCCCCCCACGACTCAGCTTCCTCATTTGCAGACCCCCTGCAGGTTTCTAGAGCTGGGCAGGCCAGGGCAAGGTGATGGGTCCCGTGGCCCCAAGGGAGGCCGCCCGCCTCTGGGGACCCAGTGGGGTGATCGCAACAAAGCCCTCTGTGGGGAGGCCCCCCTTTGGCTGGCCCTGGGCCTGCAGGAGGGGCGCTTCCCGGACAGCGGGCAGGCCGCCGGGCAGGGACGGCCCCCGGGGAGCCCGCGCCCACCGGAAACAAAGACCCTCTGCCCGCCTGCAGGGCTGACACCGCCCCTCCCCCGCAGCTTGACTTTCACGTACAGCCAGGCGGGCCTGAGGGGCGTTCTCAGAAGTTTCATCAGTGGTCTCGTCAACCTCAGGGAGAACAGAAGGTTCTGGAGCTTCCTGATCTTCAGGGACAGGGTAAGAGCCGTGTGCCAGGCATTGCCGTGGCACAGCTGCCGCGTCGGCAGCCCCTGCAGGTCGCCTCAGACCCCACCGCTCGCTCCCTGCCGTCTCCTCTTGCCCGCTGCCCCCGCGCTGCCTGGGTGGCGAATCCCCGAGTGCCAGGGGCGCGTGCCTCCGTGCCTCCGTGCCGCGCCCGCCAGCCAGGCCTCCGGAGGGCCTCCCTGAGACCCGGCCCCGCCTCCGGGCCGGCAGCTTCGGCTCCACCCCAGCACCCCCAGCGTCCTCCCTTAGCCCATCCCCGGCGCCCGCTCTCGTGCCCCCCGCCCATGGGGTGCGCACGCCCAGGCCTCACCCACCACTCCGCCCCCGCAGGTGCCCCCCAACCTGGGCCGCGAGCTGGCGCTGTCCGTGGTGCTGCTGCTGCTGTGCTGGGGGCTGTGCGCCCTGCAGTGACGCCCGCGCTGGGGGGGCTGGCCCCTCCCTCGACCGCACCCTGGAGGTGGCCCGGTTCTGACGCCTTTTAACTGTTTTCTGATCTTTTTATATTTAAACTCTAGTGCTGGGACACTACTGAGGTTTGATACAGTTTTTCTTGTTTATTTTGTAAGAGATGAATTCAGCATACCCGGGGCGTTACTGGTTAGCTGCCCGCGGGGCCTGTCTCCTGGCCCGTCGCCCCCCAGACTGCTAGCAGGCCGCAGGGAGTGCTGGCCACCCCGCGTCTGCAGTGCTCGCAGCCAGGAGACCGGCTGGGGTAGACTCGAGGGCGAGGAGAGCGCAATAAAATGTTGGTTTCCAGCTGGTGTCTGGTCTTCTCTGGGGGCGCTGAGGCCGCGTGGCCGATGCTGGGGCCTGGCGGAGGCGGGTGGCCACGCGCCCACCCGTCCCTCGCCGTCTGCAGACGCCGCCTCGGTCTGGCTGCCCAGCTGGCGTGCAGAGCTGAGCTGCCTGACCCCCACGGGGGTGGTTTCCTTCACCGTCGGGGCTGACGGTGCCCTGCCGTGCGCGCGGCCAGCACTTCTCACTGGACACTGGGGTGGGCAGCAGCTTGCACGGGAGGCAGGGACGCGGGCACTGGACTGTCCAGTGTGTGGTGGTTTCCAGGCCCCACCGGCCTCTCCAGAACACGGACAGCCTCCTCGCACCCCAGTGCCCAACCTCCAGTGCCAG